GATCTTCATATGATTCCTTTTTAGTCTTTCGGAAACATGACTGAGCCTGAAACACCGGTGTTCAAATATTTCTAAACAAACGTCGCTTAGAGAATCAAGGCGCGCAAGAGTGTACATGTGTCACTAGACTCTGCTGCTTGGTTCGTTTCTTTTTTCTTGCATATTTCGCACAACCCATCCACCTTCTGCTCTCACCTTGCCTCTCGCGCTCTCTCGTAGCATTTGCACGGTCCGCTCCTCAATACCTCGCATGCACGAACCCCCAACTAATCAATTCACTGCTGCAGTCATTGTTCTCTTGTTCAACATGAGCCAGTCTTCTCTACGCACAAACGCTGGTCACTCTGGCATCAACGAGAATGTTGGGCCAGTTGCGATTCGTCTCGAGAACATTATTGACGAGTGTGTACTTTTACTTCTCACATGCATCCACTCATTAGTTGCACCTTTTTATTTTTAAGGCATGCTGAAGAAAATGAGGAGGTTGGTGTTGACATAGCAGAGCAGCCTGCTGCTCTGATGTCGGAGGATCCCATCGGCCAGTCCGAAGTTTACCGACACATCTTTGACTTCAACATCGGTGAAGAAGAGCGCAAGTTCTCCGCTCAAAAGCGTACCGACATTCTACTCTCTAAACTCAAGAGGATTTACAAGGAGAAGAACATCGGAGCGCAGCTCGAGCTCGTCAGGAAGCGTCATCGAGTGGTCATCGATGACAAGTATTGGCGTCGAGGCAGCCACCCAGACATTGCGCTCTCAGCATCGGAAGGCAACCTGGATTTTCTTCTCTGCGTCCCTATGTCCCCTGGACTCGAGGCGATCATGCCCAACGGTATTACTGACATGACATTTACTTGGAGGTTCAGTGCAAAGAACAGGCATCGTGTTTTCAGAGCAAAACACGCTCGCACGGGTTTCGACACGACGGGGTGCATGCTTTACCTTGGCACTTGCAAGGACGATCCAGTATGGTTGGCCTTTCCTCCTCGAGCATTCTTCAAAGACAGCAAATTCGACTTTGAGGGTCCAGGGGCTCGGTCGGGAGACTCACGAATGTCGCAGAAGAACTACTGTCGAGCGTTGATTTTTCTCGCATTTGTCATGAACAGACGTCAAATTTCCGATATCACTGTGAAGAGTGAGCGAAGCTGGCCGGCCAATTTGTCCAAGTTGGAAGAGGTCAATGCATTGACAGAAATTGTGTAAGTGATCATTTTGACTTCGTTGAACGAATGATATCCGATTGCGCACCGTTGCGCAATCGGGCGTTTTAATAATAATGGCAACGTCTCATGTCAGCCCGATTGTGCGTCGACGTGCAATCGGGTATTGGATGAATGAATGAATGAATGAGAAATAGCTGTTCATCTCATTCAACTGTGCATCAGTTGATGCACAATCAATTTGATCCAGAGCAAGAGTGTAATACAAGCACCGTATCCGATTGCACGTCAATGTGCGATCGGGCACATGTATTGGATGCAATTATGGAAACATCTTGATGCATCATAATACACAATTATGTGCAATAATGCAATTAGGAGTTACAGCTGATCAGAGGCTGCAAAATAATTCACTGCTACATCCAATTCCTGTGAATAACAAAATACTCACGAATATGATTATTTTCTTTTTCATTCTATAGCTCCGAAGGAAGCGATCGACTGCTTACCTTGGCAAATGTCACAGCACTGAATGCCTATTGGGAAGGCGATTTTGAACGCTGGTTGCGTTTGTGCCCTCGATCCTGGGGGGAAGAGTGGTTCGATAGCAAACTGCCTACGCTTATATTGTGCAGATATGGCCAGAATGTTGCAATTTCAGCTAGACAAGCCACTCTGAACGACTATGCAAATGAATGGAAACGTGGACATTGATGGCATCGCTTTCGCTTTGTTTCACTGGCTATTGCCACTGACCTTTCGTAAGTTGCTTTATTGGTCTCTGTCAAAATGTTTTAATCATTCATGAACTCTAATGCTCCTGCAGGACTATGATGGTTGAACAATGGATTCCTCTGGACAAGAACATGATTTGGGATAGCTATGATGAGATATATGCTCATTGGGACCGACAAATCTGTGGAGAGCCTCTTACGCGCCAGGAGTTCGAGGACCTCGACTTGGTGGATGAAAACGGAATGGAAATATGTGTTTACAACGAGGATGGTTGGCGTATTCCTCGCCGATCTTGTGACTTTGACAGGCACTCAGGTGCTCTTGCCGACCTTCGGTCTCTTGAAAACTTCTTCCCCACACCTGGTACTCATCGCTTCGAAAACGCAGCAGGAGAGATCAACCCTGGAGTCGCTGGTGTTTACTATGCATACCCTCAGGCTTGTCTGCACCACACTGGACACTTTCAAGCACATACTGCTCCCACACCCTTTGTTCCTTACCTCGAGCACCTTAACAAAGCTGTTGGAAAACAGAAAGCTGCTGTTACTCACAACAACAATCATCACAATGGCGATGATGACGATAATGGCAACAACGGCAACGGCAATGATGGCGAAGATGACGACGATAACGGCATTATTGTTGTGCCTTCATCAGATGACATTCCAGATCCTTTCATCTGTCCATCCTCGGAAGGCGATGGTATTCCACAAGGCCCACAAGTCATCATTGAAACCGAATCGCCAATCACTGTTTCAAGCACTCAGCTCTATAACCTTACCATGCATCGGTGTCGCAGAACTACAGCTGATCATGATGTTCAGCGTGAACAGCTCACAGCTGCGCTTGCTAGTGAATATGTC